TATGGAAATTTCTTTAAAAATTAAATACGGAGTGCCATTTGACCCACTGATCCCAATTCTAGGAATATATCCTAAGAAACCCAAAACAACAATCAGAAAGAATATGTGCACCTTTATGTTCAAAGCAGTACAATTTACAATAGCTAAGATCTGGAAACAGCCCAAGTGCCCATCAGTAGGCGAATGGATAAAAAAGCTGTGGGACATTTTCACCATGGAATACTATGCAGCTACAAAAAAGAAGGATCTCTTACCCTTTGAGAACATGGAGGGACCTGAAGAGTATTATGCTAAGCAAAATACTTAGAGAAAGCCAAGTATCACATGATCTCACTCACGTGGAATATAATGAACAAAATAAACTGATGAACAAAAATAGATCCAGAAACACGAATCTCAAAGGGAAGTCTGGGGTCGGGAGAGATCAATCAAAGAATTTATATGCATATATGCATAACCCATGGATATAGACAAGAGTGTGGAGAAGGTCTGGGGGAGAGGACGGGTGGATGCTGGGTGGAGATTCTTAATGGGGGAAAAGAAGACATCTGTAATACTTACAACAATAAAGATAAAAAAAACTAATGGGAAAATAATTTTTAAGGTGATATTTCATTTTTCAAAACGGGAAGTTTCAAAAATAGTACAAAAGAAAAAAAATAGTTTATTGGGTCTCATGTATTCTTCACTCAGTTTCCCTTAAGTGACATCTTATATAATAGTGGGACATTATCGAACCCAGGAAATTTATATTAGTATATTAATATTAACTAAACTACAGTGTTCATCATTTAAAAAATCTGTATGTGTGTGTATGTGTAGTTTTTTGCAGTTTTATCTCATGTATAGATTTGTGTAACTGACACAGTCAAGATACAGAACTCTCATTATCACAAAAGCATTCATGCTCTTTGTAGTCACTCTTCTCTTTCCCTGTCCCTGTCCTGTCCACTATCGACCACTAGTATATTCTTCATATTTATAGTTTTGTTATTTTGAGAACGTTATATAAATAGAATCATGTAGTATAAAACTCTTAAGGAGCAAAAACTTTTTCTCTGCCTGCTTAGGTTCAGTGGCTGGCGGCCTCTGAATTAAACTATTGACAGATTTACAGGAGAAAAAGCATGCAGTTTTTATTAATATTTTATGTGCATGAGTAACCACAGAAAAGCGAACTTAGAAGCAGTTATACTTGGGGGCTTATATTCTTTTTACAAAGGAAAGGTGATTTAGGCTTCAGGAAATGATAAAAAGTGGGGAAATGGCTAGGAAATATATGAGGAATCTAATGGAAGTTATTTTAATAAGGTTTGTTTTTGTAAATTCATGTCAGTGTCTATGTCTCTAGTGAGAAGAGTTGCTCTCCTTTTCCTCGTAAGGGAGAGGGACACCTTCACAAAGGGAAATTTATGCTTTGCTTTTAAGGGCAGGGAACTAACTCTTCCTGTTATGTGCTGATTCTCAGTTCCTTTCAGTTCAAAATAATCCTTATGCCAAAGTAGCATATTTTGGGGTTATATATCCTAACCCCCTTAATAAGATTTTGAGATTAATTTTTTTCTCAAATCTGCCAGGTTGTTACATATATCAGTAGTTCATTCCTTTTTATTTCTGAGTAATTTTTCTATTTTTAAATAAGGTTGTCTTAGTATTTTTGGGTAGTATATTTATATATTCCAGATACAGTTCCCTTATTAGATACATGATTTGGAGGTATTTTCTCTCAGTCTGGGAGTTAGTTGTCCTTTCACTTTTTTATGGTAGTGTTTTAAAGTACAAAAGTTTTTTATTTTAATGAAGTCTTATTTATTTAGTTTTCTTTTTTGCTATACTTTTTTTGTCATATTTAAGAAATTACCTAAGCCCATGTCACAAACATTATGTTTTTCTCTAAGAATGTTATAGTCCTAGCTCTTAAATTTAGATGTATGATCCATTTTTAGTTTTTTTTCTTTTTTTTATCTGTTGTAAGATAGAAGTCCAACTTTATTCTTTTGCATGTGGAGATCCAGTTATCTCAGCACCACTTGTTGAAAATACTGTTCTCTCCTCATTGAATTGTTCACACCTTTTCAAAACTCAATTGACCATAACTGATAGTGTTTATTTCTGGATTCTCAATTCTGTTCCATTGATCTGTATATCTTTCCTTATGACAGTACCATGTTGTTTTGATTACTGTAGCTTTGTAATGTGCTTACACATCAGGAACTATAATTCTTCCTGCTTTTGGTGTATGTGTTTTTTTAACACCATTTTAGCTATTCTGTCTTCTTTTCATTTCCATATGCATTTTAGGATCAGCTTGTCAATTTCTTCAAAAAAGGCAGCTGGCGTTTTGATTGGGGTTATCTTGAATCTGTAGATCAATTTGGGGAGTATTATCAACAAGGTTGAGATAGAGTAAGCGGGGGAAGAGTGATGAGATCAAATTAGAAAGAGGGAGGCCATGTTACATTTACCTTTTAGATAATGTAAGAATTTTTGGCTTTTAATGATAATGAGAAAGAAAGACACAGGAGGATTTTGAGCAAAACACTGACTTGATTCAGCTTATAGATTAAAATTAATGATCTGGCTGACTTCTTAGTATATCTCAGACTCATTAACAACATTTCTACCCCTGGAATTTTGTGTTTTTTCTTTTCTCTGCGTGGAATACTCTTCTCCCAGATAACTTCTTGAGGAAATTAAAAAAAAATCTTCACATCTCTGTTTAAATGGAACCTTATTGATGCCCTATTAAAAAGACTAACATTCTGACTTTTTTTAATCCTTCTTTCCTGTTTAAAATTTCTCCTTAGTGCCTGTTATGTGGCATACAATATATTTTTTCATGTGTTTATTATTTGTCTCTTTCCACCTGAATTTAAGCCTTGTGAGGGTAGAACATTTAGTATGTTAATTGGTATATGCCCATTGCTAGAAAAATAATTGGCACTATTTGGTGCTCAATAAATATTTTTAAATGAGTGAAAGTATATTCAGCCGCATTTTCATTAGTGTCACGTTTTTAATTTTCAAGATTTTTTTGTTACTAATTTTATCTTTTCAATGCTTTTTATAGCATCTTGTTCTTATTTTATACATGGAATCTTTTCTCTCTTCTTTTTTAAAGATATTATGATAGCTTTTAAAAAGTTTTCTTTTCCCTGTCTAGTTTTTTTCCCCCCTTCAAGTTGTTTATGTCATGATTGTTTTGGTCTCTGTGTCTCATGCTAGGGACTTCTGTTAGCTATCTAGTGAACCTTGGTCAGCTGTTCATATTTAGGATTGAGACACTGAAAAGCTAATTAGAATCTCTCATTAGTTGGGTGTGTTGTCAGTCTCTGGAACATACCAGTATATTTGGGTCTTTCCTCTTGGCCTGGTCAGATTTCACACAAAAGTTTATTTTAATTTTCTGCCTGGAGAATATGCAGTTGACCCTTGAACAATACAGGGGTTAAGGATGCCAACACCCCCTGTGCAAAGTTTTGCATATAATTTTTTAAAGTATGTTTTTATTTATTTCAAAGAGAGGAAGGGAGAGGGAAAGAGAGATAGAAACGTCAATGATGAGAGAGAGTCATTGTTCAGCTGCCTCCTGCACGACCCCTACTGGGGATCAAGCCCAAAACCAGGACATGTGCCCTAACAGGGAAGTGAACCAGTGACCTCTTGGTTCATGGGTTGACACTCAACCACTGAACCAAACTGGCCGGGCATGTAACTACTGTTGATCAGAAGCCTTACTGCTAACATAAACAGTTTATTAACACAGGTTATATTCTTACAATAAAGTAAGCTAGAGAAAAGCAACTGTTATTAAGAAAATCATAAGAAAGAAAAAATACATTTATAGTATTTATTGAAAAAAATGTGTGTATAGTGGACTGGTGCAGTTCAAATCTGTGTTGTTGAAGGGGCAACTGAAGCCCAGCTGCCAGCATTCTGGATCCAGCTGGATAAGAGAACTGAGACCTCTATTTTCAATATTTCCATTAGCTTGTGTATAGCATACCCATCCTCAGTGTTCATGGTGCTGCCCAGTCCATGATTTTCTCTTTCATCCTCTTGATTATGTAAAGGAGGGGTGGTCATCAGGTTGCATGGATTTTTAAGTGCTTCTTAAACTGACTTTCAACTAGTGCTCCTTATTTTTAACCTACAGTTTCCACCACTTCCTGAGATACTTGGTAGCTCCAGTTCTGGAGCCTCTGAGGAGTCCTGCAGAGTAAATAGGGATGCTTCTTAACTTTCCCCACAGCCGGTTTAAGGTTTACTACTGAAAAAGCTATTTACTCTCTATATCTGCTTTCCATATTTCAGAAATGTGTTTCTGTTATATATTAGTGTATTCTCTTAAGTGTTTATTCCTTTAAAAGTTGTTAATGTTTCTGTGGGTTTCTGGAGGAATTAAAATATAAATGCAATTTGCTGTCTTTACCTGGAAAGCCCCCTATTAACTCTTTTTACTGTAATCCCTAATAATTTTATCTGTTTTATTCATTCCTGTACCTTCAGTGCCTAGAATAGTGTTCAGCCCTAGTGGACATGTGTGTAATAGTGAGACCTCCCATGAAGAAATTAAATATTCAACAGGATGGGTTGGCCTATTATAATTGGAAATTCCTTCAGTAGCATTTGGAAATTCTAAAATCTAACGAAGACAAAAGCCTTTACATTATATTATAATACGTTATATTATTTATTGATTGTTAAATGGTTAACAGTATATTTAAAGACATTAACTGTATGATGTGCTCATCTACATGCACACTTGCATGTAAATGTGTCAGAATCCATAGAAAATTTTTTTGTTTTGAATGAATAAAAGGTTAATTTAAATTGATTGATAATCTCTTTGATAAAAAAAAACACTTGCTGTTGGTTTAGCATTTTTTCTAAATTTTAACTTTAGTGTTTAAAGGTTCATTTTACTTTTGAAAGCAGTTTAGAGTGTTAGAGATGTCCCAGTTAACTAAAGTAAATTGTACTATATTTAATTTTTACAGTGATACATTTGATATTGCCTGGAATGGTAGAACTGGGATTCGCCAGAGCAGACTGTCAAGTAACACCTCCTTGCTTGACAGAGATGGGATATTCGCTAATTCAGCTAGCAGCAAACTCTTGGAAAGAGCCCATGGAATTCTCACGTTAGTATTAATCAGTAATGTGGATTGCTTTTAATGACAGGTTTAAAATCCTGGGTGAAAAAAGAAGGGGTGATGGAGATACTATTTCATGAGTAGAATTTTGAGTGAAACAAGAGTCAGCATTTAGAGTTCTGAATCTTATGCATTATTAAGCTGATGGGTTTTTGTTTGTTTTAGTCTGACTAGGAGAATCATGGTTGAATATACATATTGTAGAAATGATTCATTATTGCTCTTTAATGGACCTTAATCCAGAGAGAGACAACACTATTAGTTCTTTTCAGGATTCCTGGTCTTTAACAGCAATTGTCCTTCAATTCTGGCAGTCCTAACAAATTGGGCCAGAAAATTCCCTATGAAATGATGAATGGGACCACATATAGTGATACATAACACTTATCCAAACCTGCCATTCCTCATTATCTGGTTCTAGAATTGGTTTAAGGATATAGATACAACTATGCATGGTGGACCAGTAAAAAGTTAACTAACCACCTTTATGAACATAATCCAGATAATTCTAAAGCATAGTTTTGGACCACTAGCTAGAAGTATGACTGATTTGGATTCCTTAACCCCTAAGTTATTGTGTAACAGTGTCATAGGCTCAATTTATGTAAGTGTTGCTATAATCCAGAATTATGAATTAACTCATTTAATTCTCACAACAACTCTAAGAGGTTGGTGGTATTATCTTCCTTATTTTACATTATCATGTAATGAAACGAAGGTTTGGAGAGGTTAAAATCATACCTTAGTAGGTGAGAGAGCTTAGATTCAAGCCCATGTCTTTCTGACTCCCCAACTCATGTTCATAAGTATTAGCTTTTATTATCTTTCTTTCTGTAGCCATAATAATAACAAAAGGTCTTGATGTAAGTATGATTTTGAGTTATGAGTAAAAAAAAAATAGAAGAGAATTTTTAATTTCCAAAAGTAAAAAATTGTAAGTTTTAGTGAAAAGTACATTTTAACAATTCATTAAAATATAAGCATCTATTTAAAGTCTTGAAGTGACAGAAACAAAACTTCTGTAGTCATAAGAAATTAGAGCCCTATTAACCTCCAAAAGAAAATGAAACTTTAGCTTTGAATGTACAACATTATATTGTTGATCATCAGGCATAAATCTGTTTATACCTATATTACAGAGCAGGTATCTCTTTTCTTGTTCTCTTTTCTTTGCTTACCTTCCTTCCTAAAGTTGCCTGCTTAGTTGTATCAGACAGCATTTTCATATAGATGATTTACATCTTGGAAATGGGTATATAACCTGTTGTTTCAGTAGCGACCTTGAAATGACCCATCTCTACAATAGTTTTTTTCTGTGTGTGATTTGTCTCTTTAGGAGAAACAGAAACTTCAAATTCAAGCCTGGCCTTCCAAAGGTGGGTATTATGAAAAATCTTTTTTCCACTTTTTCCATTGGTGTCCTATTTCATAATTATATTTTTAGTACTCATGCAAACAATCTTTAGAAATCAAAGATAAGAGCTACCTTATTTATACACAAAATAGGGACTGTATGCATTCAGTAAAATCCATTTTAGAAATAAGATTGGATGTTATAAAATGGCCAAGCTTAATGATTCAGGTAGATATTTATTTGTGATACATCTTTTTTTCTAGTATTTGAAAAGCTTCTGAGTAAAATGTAAATTTTTGTTAAGTAATTGCCTCTTTACATGAGATCTTTTTATTTTTCCTTGAGCCAAGTTAAGATCAAATCTGAATTTTACCTGATTTTTAAATAATTTCTAATTAGTCCTTACCTAATTCTTATCATCATTAGCACTAGTTAAGTTTTTCTGTAAAGGTCCATACAGGTTTACAGACCTGTCGTCTCTGTTGTAACTATTTAGCTCTGCTATTGTAGCACAAATGCAACTATAAACAATACATAATTGAATGAGTGTGACTGTATTCCAATAAAACTTTATTTATGGACACTAAGTTTGAATTTCATGTAATTTTCACATGTCACTGAATATTTTTCAATTTTTTTCAGTCATATAAACCATATAAAAAATAGTGGGCAGGATTTGGCTTTTGGACTATAATTTGCCTACTCTGATCTCCATTGTTAAGGTAGAGATGGCATTCGAAAAATTAATGAATTTACTAAAGAAAGAAAAATCTTCATAGATGAGACTGGCGAATGTCAGAGGGATGGAGGAGGGCGGGTCGGTGGAAGGGGAGAGAATAACCAAAGAATTTATATACATATATGCACAACCCAAGGACACAGACAATGGTGGGGAGGGGGACTGGGGAGAGGGATGGGAAGGGGTGGAACGGGTCATTGGAGAGAAAAAAGGGATATCTGTAATATTTTAAACAAAAATAAAATTTAAAAAAAAACGGAAAATAAAGAAAAATCTTACTGTTTCATTCTCTTGTACCTTCCCAAAGAAGGAATCCTGCCCCTTGTATTGTAACCTTGTTAATGAACACAATTTCAAAATTTTAAAAGAATTGGAATTCCAAATGGCATGGTTCAGTGGTTGAGCGTAGACCTATGAACCAGTCTTGGTTTAATTCCTGTTCAGGGTACATGCCTGGGTTGCAGGCTCAACCCCAGTGGGAGGCGTGCAGGAGGCAGCTGATCAATGAATGATTCTCTCATCATTGATGTTTCTATCTCTCCCTCTCTCTCCCTCTCTCTGAAATCAATAAAAACATATTTTAAAAAAATCTCAAAGTTGAAAACAAAAAAGAACAGGAAAAGAGCTGTTTATTCTTATGATTCCCTAGTTTAAGAAAAAAGAAAAGGAATTTGTTTTTATTATTTCTTCTACCTAAGTTATCTTCGGTTTCCAAAGAAAATTTAATGCACTGCTGATGTTGTTTCTGGTAGTGGTAAATATTGTTTTGAACTACAAACCACAAAGAAAATTTATGTAACTGGTTTGTAATGATGTTCTAATTATGAAAAGATTTTATGTAGAGAAAAAAAGAGGACACCATATTTGTTCTGAAACATCTTTATCCATTTGTCTTTTTCCTTCATTCTCTTTAGTCTTTTAGTAGTTTGAATGTCACCTCTGGGCCTACCTATTTGCACTGTTCTTTTTCACTCACCTCAAATGGATAACTTCTTAAACTTCATATGATGGCCACCATCAATATATTGGATACATCTGAAGTAAATAATACCATTCAATCATAGGAATCCCATCTATTTCTCTCTCTCTCTCTCTCTCTAACTAAAATGTAGCTAATTTTTTGTTATTTTAGTGTTTTATTGATTCAGATGCATATATTTAATATCAGAGAGGCAACATAGCCTATGAGAGTACGGACTTTGGAGTCAAACTGACCTTGAGTCAGGCTAAGATCAAATTTAGGTTACATTCAAATTATGGATCTATTTCTTGCTCTATGGTTTTTGGAGTACTCTAACTTGTCTTAACCTTTGTCTCATCTGTCATGCATGGGATAATATATGTTAGAATTAGAGATACGTGTTTGGTACATGCATGAGTAGCAGTCAATAAATAATAAATTTATTTCTTCATATTTGCCATCAGAACATTTAGAACTGGATTTGTGGCTTATTTGTATACACACATATGTGCATGATATGTGGTTTGTTTAGGAATCTTATTCTTCCTCTTTCATACATTTATTTAAATATGCCTCATTTTTTCTAATTACTAAATGGTTTGCTTATTTCTTTTAGTCCATTTCAGATAAGGCAATACAAATATATATTACTATAAATTAAAGTGGCAGATCTTATATCGTCATTGTGGTCATTTTTTGAATGAGATATTTCTGACCACAGGAATATAGATAACTTGAACTTTTTTTTCTTTTGCTCTTTGGTGAAATCTGTAGCCTCTTTCATATTTTGCTATATGAAGCATTTTTGCATGCACCTCTACAACTTTTATACCTAGTGGAAATAAGATTCAGTCACCTGTGTTCAGGGCACCTCTGGCACTTCGTTTTATTGAGATAGTCAGGATTTAGAATGCTTTATTTTTACTACAATCCTGAACAGTTAAACGTAAGCCATATTTAACAAATATAACCTTCAACAGCCCTTAACTCTCTGTTAATATAGTTCTCTCTTGATAGTACTTTCCCTTTTCTCTCTTAGAATTTATTTCTGCTTAGTGCCCTTTTGATAGTACTTTCTTTTTTTTGGGGGGGGGGGTCTCCTTTTTCATCTTCTTTAATTTTCACAACACCTTGTGAGGTAGGTTATTATTAGGACATGATTAAATGAATGAATGCTTTCAAATTAAAGCTCAACAATAGCTTTGTTTTCAGACCTTCTTCCAATTGGACAAGCTTCTTACTTCACTGACCTCCTTTATGGTTTACTTGCACATGGCTCCTTGGCCAGCTGGGCAGGGGCAGAAACCATGGGACAGGCTTCTATATCCTTAGCTATGGTTCCTCCTTGTTTCTCAAGGCCCTGTGGATGCTCAGCAGAAGAAGCTGAATTATTTTTATTTTCAAGCATCTTGTGCAGCTTTGCATGCCTCTTACCTCTGTTGATGGGACCAGACCTGGGGTCTTGGCTAAGGTGTTGTTCAGCTGGTGGATACAAGTTCAGTCAGTGGTTATGACTCCAGTCCAGAAAGAGTATTTCCCACAGCAAGATGCCAAACGACCACACATCACTCTGAGTAGTATAACTCTTGTCAAAAATGGCTTCAGGTGCTATTCACTTAAGTGGGAGTCTTGCATCTCTATTCCAGACATAGTCAGGGTCTTTGTAGATGTGTCTGGCCAAATCAAAATCACAGATCTTCACAATGTTGTAATCAGCTAGAAGGATGTTCTGAACAGCCAAGTCCTGGTGAATGCATTTTCTAGAAGAGAGGAACTCCATGCCCTTGGCCACCTGGAAGCTATAGCAGATCAGGTCCTCCAAGGGGAAGGGGGTGCTTGTAGAGAATATTCAGATCTACTCAGTGGGTTATTGTAGCCCCCAGAAGGTGGTGGTTACTTTCTTCCTCCTCATCAGATTCACTATAGTTCTTGTCCTCAATGATTATTACAGATGGTACTTTCCCTTTTCTCTCTTAAAATGTATTCCTGCTCCTACTTTGAAGCTGTCACTTCTATTAAATCTACTTTTCTAACATGACCTGTCTTTTAATTTCCAATTTTTTCTGATAGTTGCCCTACTTTGACACCCTGCTCACCTCTCTTAGTTGAATTCCAAAGTGATTTTAGTGTGTCACTTTCCTACTAAATTTTTAGTCAGTCAGGTTCAGGATAAGAAGTTAATTTTAGTCCTCTTTAACATGAGCAGTATCTTTTTTAATTAAAAAAATTTTTTAATTACAGTTGACATGCAATGTTATATTAGTTTCAGCTATACAACACAGTGATTAGACATTTATATACCTTATGAAATGATTACCCTGATAAGTCTAGGACCCATCTGACACCATACATAGTTATTATAATATTATTGACTATATTTCCCAATGCTGTACTTTACATCCCTGTGACTGTTTCTATAACCGGCAATTTGTATATCTTAATCCCTTACTCTTTTTCATCTATTCCCCTACCTACCCTTTGGCAACCATCAAAATGTTCTCTGTGTCTAGAGTTTGTTTCTGTTTTGTTTGTTCATTTATTTTGTTTCGTTTTGTTTTTTAGATTCTACATATAAGTGAAATCATAGTGTATTTGTCTTTCTCTGTCTGACTATCGAAGTTGTCACAGATTATAAGATTTTATTATTTTTTATGGCTGAGTAATATTCCATTGTATATATGTACCAACTCTTTATCCATTTGTGTACTGATGGGCACTTGGGTTGCTTCCATATCTTGGGTATTGTAAACAGTGCTTAAGCAGTATTTTTTTAATGTTTGTTTCTATAGCTCCTTGCACAGCAAGCAGTAAATAGTTTTTTTAAATGAACTGATTAATTAAGCTGAATAAATGAAACAATGAAGATGGAATTAAGAAAGGAATAAAGTAGATAATGAACAGAAGACCTAAGAAATAAATTAACTCTATATTTCTCTTCTTCTAGATATCTGTTCCACATTCCAGTTCTTGGTTTCTGTTACATCATGCTGGGTTTCTGTCACATCATCTTTCTGTCACATTGCAGCTGTCACTTAACTGGATTCATCTCTCTCTTGTCCCCTTAGTCTCCTGTCTTCCACCTTGTTCCATTTTTCCCTGTCTCTCCATTTTTCACTTGCCCTATTTATCTTCTTCATAAATCTTAACCCTCAAGTTACCATTTATTTTATAATGTCCTTGTAGCCTGTTTACCTGTATTTGAATGTACTGTATTCCTAGCACTTAGAACAGAGCCTGATTTGTAGTAATCACCCTGAGTATTTGTTATTTGATCTGATCATGGTGATTTTAATGGGCAGAAGTCTGGTCTTCAGTTGGTAAGGAAACATTGCTCAAAAATCATTAGTTGCTAACCATCCATTCATTCATCAAAACTAATATTTATTGATTACCTATTCTGTACCAGAACACTGTTTTAGGCATTAGGGGTACAGGGATGAACAGTCTAGTCAGAGTCTTTGCTTTCCTTTATCTTCTAGTGGAAAAAAAAACAAAAACCAAATAAAGAAATGAAAAGATGATTAGGTGATGTTATGTGCAAAGAAGAAAAGAAATTACATGTTGACTTACCGGTGGCCAACTTTTTGGGTAGTTAAGTAAGAACTTCATGAAAAAGTTTGGGGCATTTAAGCTAGAAGTTGAATGCCAAGAAAAATCAAGCCATGTAAAGATTTGGCTGTGGAGTATTCCAAGCAAATGAAAAAATTAGAAAGACCTTTTTGTAATAATACATGTGGTTTTGTTTTTTTTAAAAAATACTTTTCCAGTTAATCTCCTTGAAGACAAGGACTATAAAAAAATAGTTACTTGTATTTTCCACTGTCCATATGATGCTTTCACATAGTGACAAATATTTATTAATTAATTTTAGTATCACTTTAGATATGGTTATAAAATCTCCAAGGTCTTTTTCTCAGAAGTATCTTAAATGTTTGGGGTAAAAATCATTTTAAGCTTTAGTGCTAATTTGTTCTTATGGATAAACTATAAAATTATTCTAATTAGTTTTTACCAGTATGTAAAAATATTTTTTTCTTAGTATGCAGTGAATTTTCTTGTGAGAATTTAAAAAATGCTAATAGAAATAAAGTAAAAGCCCTCCAAAATTCAACATACACATACCATCATACATATATGTTACTGTTTTACATGGCATTTTTTGTCAACAGTATTTGCAAATATTTCTCTATGTCAGGAAATACAGGGCTTTTTAAAATTGAATTTATTGGGGTGACATTGGTTAAATTAACCAGTGGTTTCAGGTATACAATTCTGTAATACATCATCTGTGTATTGTATTGTGTTCACCACCCCAAGTGAAGTCTTCCATCACCATTTGTCCCCCTTTTACCCTCTTCTACCTCCCCTCCCCCCACTTTCTCTGTGGTTATGGTGGTTTTATGAAGTAATGTAGTACTCAGTTGTGTGGATGAAGCATACTTTACAAAAAGAATTCATATAAATACATATCTCTGCTCATAATTTTTTATTATTTTTTGAAGTACATTGTCAAAAATAGCATTCTGATCTTGTCTGACATTATCCTTAAATAAATACCTAAAAATGACATCACTTATCGGGAAGATTATACTGATTTGCATTCTTATGAACAGTGCATATATATGACTATTTCCCCACATCCTCATGAATGTTGGGTTTTGTCAGTCTTTATTGCTTGCCAATCTGATGTACAGAAAATCTCTTTAAAAAGAAAATGTTTCTTTGCTTACAAGTGAAATTGAATGATTGTCATTATGTTGTTATTTATACTTTATTTGTGAATTGCATATTTAGATCTCATGTATTATGGGATGTATTTTAAAAGGATTTCTTACAGTTCTTATATACAGGTAATGGGTCATTATCATAGTTGGAAACATTTTTTCTTAGTTGCACTTGTTTAAATATGTATCTGTTGCTTGAAAGTTTTTATTTTTTAATGTTTATGTTGTCAAAATTAATATTTAAAATTTTTTTTTCATATTTTCATTGATTTTTATTAGAGAGAGAGGAAAGGAAAGGGGAGAGAGAAAAAGAAACATCGATGTGAGAGCAGAACATTGATCGGCTGCCTCCTGCACACTCCTTACCGGGGATCAAGCCTGCATGTGCCCTGACTGGGAATCGAACCAGCAAACTTTTGGTGCATGGGACAGTGCCCAACCAACTGAGCCACTCTGGCTGGGGCAAAATTAATATTTTTTAGACTTAAATTTGTACCTTTTTAACTCAATCTTGTGCTTCTCATACAATAAAACTTTTACTACCTTTTTAGTAACATTTTAGCTTATACATTTATATAGATATATTCTTTTCATTGATAAAGTCACTGCCATATACAGGGTGTCCCAAAAAAGTGTATGCACACTTTAACAGCTGACAGCTCAATTGATGTTTCTTTCTTTTCAGATTTAACCCATTGAAATTAATAATTATTCAAAGTGTGTATACATTTTTTTGGGACACCCTGTAGTATGGTTTAAAATTTTTTGATTCACTAAAAAAGCTCCCACATACTTTATTAGTATTTTATTTTATATTCTTTTGTTGCTTTATATAAAACTTCGATCTTATTAACAATTAGCACACCAGGATGACTGTTGATAGGGACTGTATTTTTCTTTTTTCTGTGTTCATGGCATATCTGATATATCCTTGAGAATTAATTTAATTTGTCTCTGTGAGTAAGGATTCAGTTACAGTTAACAGTAATTATTGTAGATATTTTTATGTAGAAAGGGACTTAATTCAGAAAGGCGCTTACAGCTTGCAAAATCATTAGAAGTCGTAGGTGTAGAGTATTAAAATAACAATGTAGAACTGATGTGAGCTGTAATCAGAAAGTTGTAGCTGCTGCTCCCAGGTTGATGCAGGATTCAGGAAGAAGCTGCTAAAACTTTTGGCTCCAGAGCTTAAGTGCCTTTGCTAGAATTGCAGTGACAACACAAGTGCCCTGCACTCTGTCTCTCAGCACTCAAAAAAGTAGTACCTGGACAGAAAACTGAAGCACTTTTATGTACATGCTTGCCAGCAGAAACAGAAGCTACTAACCAAAGCCTCTGCATCATTATACCTTCCCAGTTTCTTGTGTGGGAATTTAATTGATGAACTTAAATCACTTCCAGAACCTGAAATGCAATAGAGTTTGAGAAAAGTAGTTTTCTTTTTAGCTGGAAAGCTTCTGCAGGAAAGCAGGAGGAGGGGAGAATGGATATGGAATATCAATCTCCCATATTCACCACAGTCATTATACATAGGAAATAATGAAAACTGGCTTAGAATTTTCTGTTCCCTATTCTTAGATTAATTTATGTGAAGAATTTTATTTTCTCTTCTTCTTTTTAGCACTTGCTAGAGGTAAATTCTTTAAAGCACTTGACAAGACTGACTCTGCAGGACCGTATTACCAAGTCCCTTCTTCATTTGCACAAAAAGAAGAAACCTCCCAGCATCAGCGCTCAGTTTCAGGTTATTTCCTAATTTATTTTTAACTAAGAGGAATCTGTTGCCTTCAAATTGACATTGAAAGGTCAAAATGATTGGCAAGATACCTGAACGGGATATGGTTCATTTGACTAAAAAGCCATGCTGTAGTGGTCATTTGGCTTTTCAGAAATAAACCTATTTCTATGTATACCACTCATTTTTGCATATTTTGACATTATTGTTTATATTTGCAAATCATTGCCAGTTTGGAATAGAAGAAAATGCTCATTATATTGCTTTGTATTGCAGGCCTCATTAAACAAGCTGATGGAGACACTTGGTCAAGCAGAACCATATTTTGTAAAATGCATTCGCTCTAATGCAGAAAAGGTAAAAATGTCCTGTAAATGAGAGCTTCTTGCTCAGCCTACTTCAAACCAAGCTTTAAATTCTTTCTAAGGAGAGTAAGTAGAGAGGAAGAGCTATCTGTAATCTTTTTAAGGAAAACAGTGTTCTATATTTTCTTTGGATACTTTTTTTGTTTTTACACCTACCTGTCTGCAAGGTATTTATATAGTCTTGATTTAGTATCTACAAGAATTTGAGAAGCAAATACCTCTTGAAATTTCATAATAAGAAAGAGTTTCATGCAACTTTTATTGCCCTGAGATTAATATCTCTTGTTTGGATATACACTATCACTCTTAAAGAATTTGGTGTATTTCATGTTTAGAGATTCTTATCTTTGTAAAATAGGGAAGATACAATGGACATTCTTGATTCCTTCCTGTTTTTCTTATAATAGCTCCTCTAATTAGGGCTTTGCAAAATATATCTAAAAAGTGTAAACATTTGTCATCTTTCTTTATGTTCATCATAGGAAAAAAAAGTTCCCAGCCTAAACAGCTAGAATGTGTAGGAATTATGTTCAGCTTTCATAAGTCTTAAGAAGCAGTCTCCAGCTTGGCTTTTTACAAGCTTTGTGACCTTAGACAAGTTAACCTTTCTGTGGCTTAAATATTTTCATCCATGTAAGAATATATTATATTTATAGGGCCTCATAGTGTTTTGTGAGTACATGTGAGTTAATACCTGTAATATATTTAGAATGTCCCTAGCCCATACTAAAATGGTTAGTAAATGTAGCAATTCTTTTACAATGATTAAAAAGGAAACCATTTTATTTATATTTTAAACTAGAAGTTTGAGTCTCTATTATTATTTGAGACCTTGCTATACAAAGAGTTCAACTAATGAAGTATTTCAGGGTATAGAACAAGTACTAAATAAATGTCAGCTATTATTACTATTATTTAACATAAGTTACCCATTGACTCTTTTTCCTTTACAGCTGGTATGCCCCATCTGTCTGCACGAAAATGTTTGGGATTCCCTTAGGGAATCATTGAAAATAGTATTTAGAGTGAATAGGGAGAAATATCAGAAGCTCCAAATGCATCTTGTTTTGAATGTCTGAAAACATGCCTATTGAGATACCTAGGAGTGACATAGTACTATGACTACTGAGGAGTGACTGCCTGCCATTAGCTTCTTCCCCCTCAATGCATATACAATGAAATCAATTGTCAGGGACTAAAGGAATTTTTTTTTTCAATATGTCATACCAGTATCATCAGCAAAAAGTGTTTAGGGAAATAAACTACTCTTAACCTTGTACTAGTTATTAGAAGAAGAATCTGTCAGCTCTCAGTTAACCAGGGCAACTGGTAAAGTGGGGCAGGTAGTTTCTGAGTGAGATTATAGATAAAATTGTAATTAAAAACAAAAATACAGACACTCTTGACCATATGTAAGTAGGCTAGTCTTGTTACGTATTTTATGACTACTATGTGGCCTCCTCTGTGGGCAGCTACATCCTTTTGAGCTTTGAAAGTCCTCTGCCTCTACAACTAGAAAAGCCTGGAAACCTGGTTTCTCATTTTCCCTAGGGTCAGGCAGTCAGAACTTTTCTGAAGCTACCATCCTGGGAAGTAAGATTGTCTTGTCATTTCTGGTATGTTTTAACCAGACAAGCTTTAGTCAGTTCCTAGATATTCAAAAGTTAATCATTCTTATAAGACAAACATTAATTTGGAGATCTATTCTTCTAGGTTAATGTTTTTTTCTATTGCTTTTTTTTTTAGCTGCCATTAAGGTTCAGTGATTCCTTGGTACTTAGGCAGCTTCGGTATACTGGGATGCTGGAGACAGTTCGAATTCGCCAATCAGGATACAGCTGCAAATACTCTTTCCAGGTTATAAATTTACAGTGATCTTTAAATATATATGCACATCAAATAAATTATTCCTGTCTTGCTTATTTTTTATTTGAGGTTTGTTTATTTCTCTTAATTCTTCCTTTCCATTCCATCTTTTGTATACAGAATTGAAGAGGTAGAGAATACTTCTATCGAATGGCACCAATCTTATTAAGCTTGTGTTGTAATAGAATCTAGTACTTAGCTATCCTCATTTGATCTGAATGTTTCCTAATACTAAACTTACTCATAACATAACAGTTCTTCACACTGATTGCTGTACACTAAATTTACTCATAATATAGCAATTCTTCACACTGTTACGAGTAAATGCTAAATTTACTGGTAACATAGCAATTCTTCACACTGATTACAGTTCTTCACACTGAAATAGTTCAATCAGAACTGTCTAGTCCAAAAGAAAACATTCCATTTGGTTTTTGCTAAAGTTTTCTCAGTAGGATTTTCTTTTATAGGAAGCTGCCAGCAAGACTCATAGTTATTCTCATCAGCTACTGCTGCTATGGGTATAGAAATTATATTGAAGCTGTTCAACAGCTGAGTGAGTCTTTGCTACTACATAGAACTCACTACACCTCCCCCCATTTTATAAGTCTACCTTTTGTAATACTTTAAGTTAACAAGTACTTTCTTGGTTTCACCCTATTTAAAAAAGCTTTCTTGATTTCACCTTCTTTAAAAGAATGAAAAATGGATCAATAAAAGAATAATTTGCTAAAATTTAGGATCTTGTTTACATATCTTTCTTTTATAACTTTATAACATTTTCTTTTAATTTTTCAGGATTTTGTGAGCCACTTCCATGTACTTCTTCCTCGAAATATTATTCCATCAAAATTTTACATTCAGGATTTCTTCAGGAAAATAAATATTAATCCAAATAATTATCAAGTTGGAAAATCCATGGTAAATATTTATATAACCCTTGTCAAGACTGAGTGTATTTTTGTGTTTAAATAATAATGACAATCCTTGCCATGATAATGTTTTATAGAAAACGTAGAAACGTAGTTTACCAGATGTCATAAGGAAATTGGGTAGGCCGAGATTTTTTTACTTAATAAAATAGTCAGTATTAAAGAGCTTCTGGCCAATTCTCTAGTTCTATCTGTACTTTTAACTGCCTAAAAATCATCTCCCCCTAGTGCTCTGCTATAATCTCAAACTCTGCTTGCCCAACGTCACCTTATCCTGATTTCCCTATTGTCCTTAATTTGTCAACTACTTTTTCCTGTCACCCTTCTTCTAGTTTGTTAGGCTGGAAACCATAATAATATTTGGCTTACCCTTCACTTTAATCATTTTACAAAGTTCTGTTTCTTTTTTTCCTTACAAATGATTCTCACATCTCTCCCTTTTTCTCCAGTGCCACTGGTTCCATAGTAGTTCTATTACCTCTCACTTAATAGTTCTCTTACAGTAAACAGATCTCTCATCTAGTTTGTCTATTTGTTATTTTTTTTTAACTCACTCTACCTATTTTATCAAAATCACCTTAATTTCTTTCTTTTTTTTTTTTAAAAAATATATCTTTATTGATTTCAGAGTGAGGAAGGGAGAGGGAGAGAGAGAGAGATAGGAACATCAATAATGAGAGAATCATTGATCGGCTGCCTCCTGCACAACCCCCACTGGGGATTGAGCCTGAAACCCAGGCATGTGCCCTGACCGGGAATCGAACTGCCATCTCCCAGTTGATGCTCAACCACTGGGCAATATATTTCTTTATGTTGACTTCCTGATCAGTAATAATCCCCTGATAACCTCATTAAATTCAAACATCTTTTTCAAGAACCTCCATATTGTGATTTTACACTATTTAATATCTTCATTATAAAGATCAAGTATTTCTTTGTCCCTTGTATGTGCCTTTTCATTATTTACAACTACTTGTTTTGCTCAGGTGGCATCCTCTGTCTCTTACCCTTATTAGTTTACTTTTTTCCTCTTTGAGTATCTAATAACTGTGCTATTTTTAAAGGCAAATTATTTTATTTTTTCATCCTTACCCGAGGATATGTTTTTATTGATTTTAGAGAGAGAGGAAGAAGAGAAAGAGAGAGAAACATTAGTGAGAGAGAAACATCAATTGATTGCCTCCTGGATATGTCCCGACTTGTGATCGAACCTAAAACCTAGGTATGTGCCCTGACTGGGAATCGAACCCGCAACCTTTTGGTATACAGGATGCTCCAACCGATTGAACCAGCCAGCCAGGTCTATGTGCTCTTTTTAAAAATATTTTTTATTTTTGACAGAAATGGGAGGTGATGAGTATGTTAATTAGTTTGATTGTGATAGTCATTTCACAATGTATACGTACATCAAAACATCATATTATATACCTTAAATATATACTATTTTTAATATCTACCTGATGTTTAAGGTGAATGCAATCCTATTTCCTAAGGGACCATATCTAAGTTATCTTTGTATCCCCCTAAATTGCTACAGATTTTTTTAATGGAATGAAGGAGTAAATAAATAAACTTAATAGCTTTGGGCAACAAGAAGTCTTTGGCACATACTGGGTTTCTAAAAGACTTATTGTTGGTTTATTTATGTTATGATCAAACTTGAAGATTTGTGGTTCTCAACTTGTTTCCTCTACTCTAGCATCCTTGAAAAATATGATACCCTGGCCTGTGTGGCTTAGTTGGTTGAAACATCATCCTATGCACCGAAAGGTGGCAGGTTCAGTTCTTGGTCAGGGCACATACCTAGGATGCAGGTTTGATCTCCAGCCAGGGCATGTATGGGAGACAGCCAGTCTGTGTTTCTCTCTGATATTGCTCTTTCTCTCTTTCTCCTTCTCTTCCTCTCTCTTAAAAAAAAAAAAAAATCAATAGAAATATGACATACCACCAGCAGTACATTGGCTCATTATGGTGGTGAATTTCCCACGGGAATAATGTATCATAATATCTGGCACTGGGATTTTTGTGCCCATGTGCACCTTCCATTTCCCCTTCTATACTCTAATGTCTTCTCTCCATTTTGAGAATGACTGCTTTGGATAAATTGGTAGAAATATTTATCAGTACTGCCTTTACACATTTGCCACAGTATTTGTTCTTCTCTAAAAATGCTGATCATGAAATAAATTTCTCATTTTTTCTTAAGCTGTATTTCTCATCTTTCTCTTTCTGGTAGGTGTTCCTAAAGGAACAGGAACGACAGCACCTGCAAGACCTGCTTCACCAAGAGGTGCTCCGCAGAATCATATTGTTGCAACGATGGTTTAGAGTCTTGCTGTGCAGGCAGCATTTTCTCCATCTTAGACAGGCATCGGTTATCATTCAGGTGGGAGGCAAAGGATGCCTTGCATGAGATTGGCTAGTTTATTTGGCCTTTGTTTTAGTAACCAGAATTATTTTACTGTGAAACATATAAATAAGATGTAAACTTCTTCAGAGATGAGAATGTGTCCTACACATTTTTGAAATGTTGATAGCACTGAAAAGATTATTTGGCATATAATAATAGACTATTAATAAATATCAGTGGAGTTGAATTTTAATTAAATTGAATTTATAGTTACAATGGCTTGTGAGGTATGATTAGGGGCAAAGGAGTTATGTGCCTTAATTTTTGTTGCATAGTTATATTTAATATTTTTCTCAGTGATATTTGCGTGTTATAAGTACATTGTTGTTAAGTACTTATCTTGGTTTATAGGTACCTTATTTCACATTTACCTGTTTTATTTTCTTTCTCATCAATTTATACGATACATGTTTCCACAGGACCTTTTCTGTTTGTACAAGAACAAACTTTACTATCTTAATTTTTGAAATGTGTGCATGTTGACTTAAATTCAATAATAATGGCAAATTGTAGTATGAGAATAATTTGTAATATGTTAAAATTAATTGTAGGGCATGAAAGCATCAAAAAATTTAAATTAAGTTCTATAATTAACTTTATTGAGGTTATATTATCTAAAATAGTTGCTTTAACCAAGAATATCTAGAAAATAAAACTTTTTAAATCACCCACAATTTAGCATTTAGCCACTTACCCTTTAGTTATGACATAAGAAATTTATTCTTTTTTCCTTTTTCTGTGAAAATGTGGTATAAGGTATGACAATCAGTTTCTATTATTTTGTCTTCTCTACAGCGATTCTGGAGGAATTACCTAAACCAGAAGCAAGTCAGAGATGCAGCTGTGCAGAAAGATGCTCTAGTTATGGCTAGTGCAGTTACTCTTCTCCAAGCTTCGTGGCGTGCTCATTTGGAAAGGCAGCGGTATTTGGAGCTCCGGACTGCAGCCATCATCATCCAACAGAGATGGCGAGAGCACTATAGGCGGAGGCACATGGCTGCTGTTTGTATACAGGCAAGATGGAAAGGCTACAGGGAAAGTAAGAGGTATCACGAACAAAGGAACAAAATTATCCTTTTGCAGTCAATATGTAGAGGATTCAGAGCAAGACAAAGGTAATCTTTGTTCTTATAATAATTCTTCCCTTGCTCAAATACATTGTTTATACCTCTGCCTAACTTGTATTAGAATTGGTTATGTGCAGTTTGTCTTCACCACTAAATTGTGATACTCCTAGCAATTTAACTTACATTGTGTGGTCTATAATAGAAGCTAAATAAGTGTTTATTGAATTAAATTGGATTGAAAACCTACATAGTCTATGGTTATAACTGCTAAGAATAAGGATATTGTTAAATGAGAGCTTTACTTCTGATTTTATTTATTTTTTTGAGTAGAATGCTTAATTAGGAATAATGCACTTAATGAAATATAATCTCATTCATGGAAATAGAATTATGAAATGTGCATTGAAGTTAGGTTGAGAAATACTTAGGTATAATAAATAAATTTTTTGAGACTGCATTTTTTTCTTAAATTCTCAGTAAATATATTCTCTCCAGTGGTAACCAAGAGATAGCTTTAACCTACTTTTTTTCTATTTTTATATAGATTTAAAGCTTTAAAAGAACAAAAACTAGAACTTGGATTGATGAATTTTGAGCCATATGGAGCTCTGAAAGTTCAGGGTTCAGACCCTTCAGAATGGGAGGATTGTTACTTTGACAGCAGAGTAAAAGCCATAGAGGAATGTAAATCTGTGATTGAGAGTAGTCGAATTAGTTCAGTGGAATGCCTGAAGGAGTCCCCAAACAAGCGACAGGAGAGAGCCAGAAGCCAGAGTGGTGTGGACTTGCAGGAAGATGTGATTGTAAGAGAGAGACCCAAGTCCTTGGAGGATCTCCACCAGAAAAAAGTAGGTCGGGCCAAAAGAGAAAGTCGGAGAATGAGAGAACTAGAACAAGCTATATTTAGCTTAGAATTGCTGAAAGTTCGTTCTCTTGGTGGTGTGTCTCCTTCAGAAGAACGCAGATGGTCTACAGAACTGATGCCTGAGGGCCTTCAGTCTTTACAGGGTACACCTGATAGTGGAAGCTCTCAAGGAAGCTTGGAACTTCTAAGCTGTGAGGAAAACCAACAGAGCAAACTAGAGTCTTTAATTTTAGATGAAGGAGACTTGCGGTTTCTATCACCTAAGATATCTAGCAGTCAAAAATTTGATTCACAGGACAATGCTCTTAGTGCCTCAAGTGAGACTAACTTTACGTTGATTCAAAAGGGAGCACCCTCTGACTCAGTGCATTTGAATAATGGGAGTATGAAGGAAAAACTTGTTTATAGTTCTGAATCTATTACCTGTAAGCCACAGCTGAAAGAGTCCTTCATTTCCAGTAGTCTGCCTACATTTTTCTATATTCCTCAACAAGACCCACTGAAAACAAGTTCCCAACTAGATACAAGTATCCAGAGAAACAAACTAATGGAAAGTGAAGAGATAATTCCAGCTCTTACTTTGGATATAAACAGGGAGACAAGAAAGTATCACTCTTCAGGAGAAAATCAAGATATTGCTTTGAATACAGATTCTTCTAATACCATGCTTAAGAAGTTGGAAAAGCTGAACACTGAGAAGGAAGAAAGGCAGAAACAGTTGCAGCAGCAGAATGAAAAAGAGATGATGGAACAGATTCGCCAGCAAACGGATATTTTAGAGAGGGAGCGTAAAACCTTCAAGACAATTGAAAAGCCAAGAATTGGAGAGTCTTTTCCGGTATCATCTTTCCATCAATCAAAGAAAGTAGTAGAGAGGCCATCCTCTCTCCTTGTTCTGAATACCCTAAATAAAGAAGAATCTGATGTACTAGGGCATCCATCAGTAACTGTAAAAGATGCAGCTCTTGTCCCAAAAGACAGTCCCTCTGCTCACTTTCCCCTGAAGGATCGACCTGTCACCCTGTGCTTTGAAAGAAAAGGAGGCCCATGCCAATCTAGTACTGTCAATGAATTATCCAAGACAGACAGAATGTGTACCCAACTGAATGTAGCCTATAAACACTCTAATAATCGCATTTCAAAAAGAGAACACTTTAGGATGACTCAATCTTATAGTCACAAATCTAATGACCCTCCCAGAGATGGAACTACTAGGGCCATTTTCTTCACACCAAAGGAAAATATGAGTATTTCCCTGTAAGTGAAATGTTTGTTTATTTTTATGTATAAGTGGGAAAAATGTTTGGAGAATTTTACAGGCACACCTTAGCTCAGTTCCAGACCACTGCAGCAAAGCTAGTATCACAGTAAAGCGAGTCATAATCTTTTTGCTGATAGAGGGTCTTGCCTTTAATTAAAAAAAATTCGCAACATCTGTGAAGTGCAGTAAAAATAGGTATGCCTGTATTAAGGTGCCTTGATCTGCATCAACTATTTGCATGGGTGCTACTCAAATTAGCCATTTTCTCTGTGTAAAAAAGTTTCCTAATTGTTGACTCTACCAGCCACTTGGAATTGAATATAATTATACCCTAAGAATCTTTGACTAAGCACAGATAGCAGTTTTTGGTTTCTTCCCATTGAGTGAGAAAGCATTTGTGAAAGGCAATACAGTGCCAGTAAACATAGTAGGCATTCAGCAAGTGCTGGTTGTCCTAGCGCTGTTAGGTGTAGCAATCCAAGCTTAGTGTCAGGCTTTAAAGCTAATGTGCTTTGTCACTGCTGTATACAAAGAGTTAATACAAATCTTAAGTTTATCAAATTTGTTTAATGTACACCCTAAAAAATGCTTTTCTTGTGGTTATCACTAGTTAAGAAAAAAAGTATAAAGATCTTTCACTTATATGAAGTTCCTAATATAGTCAAAGTCTTAGAAACAGAAAGGAGAATGGTGGTTATCAGAGGTTTAGAGTAAGGGAAAAGGGGGAGTTGTACAATGAGTAATAGAATTTATTTGTGCAAGATGAAAAAGTTCTAGAGATATATTTTACAACAGTGTACATGTAGTTAACATTAATGTACAGTTAAAAATAGGTAAGGTGGTAAATTTTTATTTTTACCACAAAAAAAGTATAAATAATGTGTCCATGGGCTATGCATATATGTTCTTTAGCTAATCCCTTCATCTTCCTTTATCCAGTCTTCCCCCATGCCCCTCCCCTCTGACATTTGTCAGTCCACTCCAGGTATCCATGCTTCTGGTCTGTTGTTTGTCAGTTTATTTTGATCATTAGATTCCACATATTAGTGAGATCATATGGTATTTGTCTTTCTCTGACTGGCTTATTTCACTTAGCATAGTCTCCAGGTCTATCCATGCTGTTGCAAAGGTAAGAATTCCTTCTTTGTACAACCACATAGTATTCCCTTGTGTGAATGTACCACAGCTCTTTTATCCACTCATCTATTGATAGGTGCTTGTGCTGTTTCCAGATCCTGGCTATTGTAAATAACGCTGTTATGAACATAGGGGTGTGGGGTGTCTTTATTCTCACTAGTGTTTAGGGATTCTTAGGATATATACCCAGAAGTGGGATCACTGGATTAAAAAGGCAGTTCCATTTTTAATTTTTTGAGAAAACTCCATATTGTTTTCCACTGTGATTGTGCCAGCCTGCATTCCCACCAGCAGTGCACTAGGGTTCCCTTATCTCCAAATCCTCGCCAGCTCTTGTTGTTTGTTGATTTATTGATAGTAGCCATTCTAACAGGTGATACCTCATTGTAGTTTTAATTTGCATCTCTCTGATGACTAGTGATCTTGAGCATTTTTTCACATGTCTATTGGCCATCTGTATGTCCTCTTTGGAGAAGCTATCTATTCAGGTCCTTTGCCCATTTTTAAATTGAATTGTTTGTCTTCCTGGTATTGAGTTGTATAAGTTCTGTGTATATTTTGGATATTAACCCCTTATCAGATGAATCATTGGCAAATAGGTTCTCCCATACAATGGGTTCCCTTTTCTTTTCATTGATGGTTTATTTTGTGGTGCAGAAGCTTTTTTGATGTAGTCCCATTTGTTTATTTTTTTCCTGTTTCCCTTGCCCTTAGAGACATATTGGCAAAGATACTGTTCTGAGTGATGCCTGAGATTTTATTGCCTATGTTTTCTTCTAGGATTTTTATGGTTTTGCGACTTAACATTTAAGTCTTTTATCCATTTTGAGTTTATTGTTATGTATGGTGTAAGTTGGTGGCCTAGTTTCATTTTTTTTCCATGTACTTGTCCAATTTTCCCAACATCATTTACTGAAGGGACTGTTTTTACTCCATTGTATGCTCTTTCCTCCTTTGTCAAATGTTAATTGACCATAAAGGTGTGGGTTGATTGCTGGGCTCTTTGTTCTGTTCATTGGATCTATATGCCTGTTCTTGTTCCAGTACCAAGCTGTTTTGATTACTATGGCTTTGTAGTATGGTTTGATATCCAGTATTGTGATCACTCCAACTTTGTTCTTTCTCAAAATTGCTGAGGCTATTCAGGGTCCTTTTTGGTTTCATATAGATTTTTGGAATATTTGTTCTAGATCTGTGAAATATGCCATTGGTATTTTAATAGGAATTGTGTTGAATCTATAGATTGCTTTGGGGAGTATGGTCATTTTAATGATGTCAATTCTTCTAATTCATGAACATGGTATATGCTTCCACTTCTTTGCATCTTCCTCTATTTCTTTCTCCAATGACCTAAAATTTTCCAAGTATAGATATTTTACCTCCTTTGTTAAATTTATTCCTAGGTACCTTATTTTTTTTGTTGCAGTAATAAATGGGATTAATTTCTCTTTGAAATGTTTTCTTAATTTCTCTTTCTGAGAGTTTGTCATTGGTGTAAAAAAATGCCACTGATTCCCGGATATTACTTTTGTATCCTGCTGTTGTGATGAATTCATTTATTAGATGTAGTAGTTTTTAGTGGAGTCTAGGGTTTTCTATGTACAATATCATGTCATCTGTGAATAATGACAGTTTTACTCCTCCTTTCCAATTTGAATGCCTTTATTTCTTCTTCTTGTCTGACTGCTGTGGCTAGGACTTTCAGCACTATGTTGAATAAGAGTGGTGAAAGTGGACATATGTGTCTTGTTCTTGATCTTAATGGAAATGCTTTTAGCTTTTGCCTATTGAATATGATATTGGCTGTAGCATTTTCATATATGGCCTTTGTTATGTTGAAGCATGATCTCTCTATTCTTACCTTGCTGAGAGTTTTTATCATAAGTGGGTGCTGGATTTTATCCAGTGCTTTTTGTGCATCTTTTGATATGATCATGAGATTTTTATCTTTCATTTTGTTTATGTGATGTATCACATTTATTGATTTAGGGATATTGTAGCAGCCTTACATCCCCAGAATAAATCCCACTTGGTCATAGTTATGATCTTTTTATTTTTTATTTTATTTTTTTAATTGAGTTTTTAGCAAGAGCAAAAGATGGATTGGGGGGGAGAGAGAGAGGGAGAGAGAAGCATTGATGTGAGAGAGAAACATTGATCACCTACCTCCTGCATGCCCCCTACTGTGGATCAAGCCTGCAATCAGGGTATATGACCCGACCCGGAATCAAGCTGGCAAACCTTTGGTGCATGGGAGGACACTCAGCTAACTGAGCCACACTGGCCAGGGCAAGTGTATGATCCTTTTAATTTTTTGCTGGATCTGGTTTGCTAATATTTTTCAAAAAAATATGTCTGTATTGATTTCAGAGACAGGAAGAGAGAGATAGAAACATCAGTGATGAGAGAGTCATTGATTGTCTGCCACTGCACGCCCCCCTACTGGGGATTCAGCCCACAATCGAGGCATATGCCCTGACCGGGAATCAACCTGTGATCTCCTGGATCACAGGTTGATTCTCAACTGTTGAGTCACAGCAGCTAGGCTGGTTTGCTAATATTTTGTTGAGAATTCTAGCATCTGTGTTCATCCAAGATATTGGCCTATAATTTTCTTTCTTCGTAGGGTCTTTATCTGGTTTTGGAATTAGGATAATGTTGGCTTTGTAAAAAGAGTTTGGAAATCTCCTTCTTGAATGTTTTGGAATAGTTTGAGGAGGGTAGGTCTTAGTTAGTCTTTGAATGTTTGGTAAAATTCACCTGTGAAGCCATCAGGTCCAAGACTTTTGTTAGCTGGGAGTTTTGTTTTTTTATTACTGCTTCAATTTCATTAGTTTTTACTGGTCTCTTTAGGTTACTGATTCTTCCTGATAGAGTTCTGGAAGATTATATGTTTCTAGGAATTTGTTCTTTTAGCCCAGGTTGTCCAATCTGTTCGCCTATTGTTGTTCATAGCATTTTCTTACAATCCTTTGTATTTCTGTGATGTCAGTTGTTACTTTGACTCTTTCATTTTTGTTTCTTGGTCAGTCTAGCTAAAAGGTTCATCAGTCTTGTTTATCTTTTCAAAGAACCAACTCTTGGTTTCACTGATCTTTTGTATTGTTTTTTTAGCTTCTGTCATTTATTTCCACTCTGATCTTTATTATATCCTTCCTTTTGCTTTCTCTGTGATTTTCTTGTTGTTCTCTTTCCAGTTCTCTTAGGTGTAGGGTTAGATTATTTATTTGAGATTTTTCTTGCTTTTTTAGGGAGATCTTAATGCTGTGAACTTCCCTCTCAGGACTGCTTTCTCTGTGTCCCATAAATTTTGGATTATTATGTGTTCATTTTCACTTTTTTCCAAGTAATTTTTTATTTCTTCCTTGATCTCCGTGGTAACCCGTTTATTGTTTAATAGCATGCTATTTAGCCATCATGTGTTTGAGTGATTTTGAGTGTTTTTATTAAAGTAGATTTCTAGTTTCATGCCATTGTTATCTGAGAAGATGCTTGGTATGATTTCAGTTTTCTCGAATTTGTTAAGATTTATTTTGTGTTCTAACATGTGATCTTTCTTTGAGAATGTCCCATGTGTGCTTGAGGAAAATGTATATTCTTCTGCTTTGGGGTGAAATAGTAATATCAATTAAATCCACCTGACCCAGAGTGTCGTTTAAGGTCACTGTTTCCTTGTTGATTTTTTGTCTGGGACATCTACCCATTGATGACAGTGGGGTGTTAAAAGTCCCCTACTATGACTCTGTATTGCTGCAAATCTCTTCCATAAAGTCCACCGAAAGTTTTTTTAATATATTTAAGTGCTCCCATATTGACTACATGTATGTTTACAAGGTTTATGTCCTCTTGTTGGATTGATCCCTTTAGTATTATGTAGTGGCCTTTTTTGTCTCTGTTATGGCCTTTATTTGAAGCCTTTTTTATCAGAGTATTGCTACTCCAGCTTTTTTTTTTTTTTTTCCAGTTGCACGGAATATTTTTTTTCACCCCTTTACTTCCTGTCTGAATCTTTTGTTCTGAGGTGGGTCTCTTATGGACAGCATGTATATGGGTCATGTTTTCTTATCCACTCTGCTACCCTGTGTCTTTTGATTGGATCATTTAGTCCATTTGTTTATTGCATTTTTCCCCCCCTTCATTCCTGCGGTCCTCTTTCTATATATTTCTTTATCTTAAAGCCTTCTCTTAATATTTGTTGCAATGCTGGTTTGGTGGTATTAAACTCCTTTAGCTTTTTTTTTTTTTTTTTGGTCTTGGAAACTCTTTATTTGGCCTTCAATTTCAAATGATAGCCTTGCTGGATAGAGTATTCTTGGATTTAGGTCCTTGCTTTTCATTACTTTGATACTTCATGCCAATCCCTTCTCGCCTGAAGTGTTTCTATTGAAAAATCAGCTGACGTCCTTATGGGAACTCCCTTGTAGGTAACTTTCTCTCTCACTGCCTTTAAGATTCTCTTTGTCTTTAATGTTTGCCATTTTAATCATGATGTGTCTTGATGTGGGTCTCTTTTTGTTCATCTTGATTGGAACTCTCTGTGTTTCTTGAACTTGTGTGACTTTTTTTTCCACCAAGTTAGGGAAGTTTTATGCCATTATTTCATCCCTTGCTTATTTCTTTTTCTGTTATCCCTGTGATGTAGATAATTGTTATGTTTCATGTTGTCCCAAAGTTCCTTTAAACTATCCTTGTTTTTTAAAATTATTTTTTCTTTTTGTTGCTCTGATTGGGTGTTTTTTCCTACTTTGTCTTACAAATCGCTGATTTGATCCTCTGCTTCATCCAGCCTACTTTTAATTCCTTCCCATGTATTCTTGTCTCTGGTTCTTAGTTAGGGATTCTATGTCCTTTTTCATGCTGATGTAGTTCCCATTAAGTTTCTTGTAGTTTTCACTAAGTTCGTAGATCATCCTTTTAACCATTATTTTGAACTCTACGTCTGAGAAATTGCTTGCCTCTATTTCATTTAGCTCTTTTTCTGGAGATTCCTCCTTTTCTTTCATTTGGGGGTTGTTTCTTTGTCTCCCCACTTTAGCTGTCTCTTTGTGTTTGTTTCTGGGGGTGCTCTCGGAATGTCCCTTTTATAGGTTATTTTGGCTCTCCTCTTGTAATTGGGTCTTGATTGTTGTTGTTCCCTTCATGGGTGGGATTTCCCTGAGGCTCGCTGACTTTGAGGCTCAACTCTGACCACATCATGTGAGCTGTTGTACAGGGTGCAATCTCAAGGAGGTTTTTGCCCTTCCTTGTTTAAAAGTCTCTTCTTCAGCTAGTCTTCAGTTCGCTAATTCAGGGTGAATGTTCCCCAATTTAGTTTTATTTCCAGTTTGGTTCTCGGAAGAGGTGCAAGAAAGATGCACCTACTCTGCCGCCATGTTGAAAAAAACGTCAATTCTTGATAATAGTATCAGTTTGGTAATCAGAAAAAATCTGATATATTGTTTTGGTGATTGAATAATTTCTAGAAATACGTCCAGAATTTGCTAGAATTCTTTGACCTGGCTGTTAAAGTATATTTTATGGTATACTTTAAGACTGCTGCCATGGGATATCTGCTAGGAATTGAAATGTAATCCTGATTTTTTATCCTAAGCGTCAACAAGGAATCCTTAAACAGCAGAAATCCTAAACTCCATAAACAAGATGAACCAACTTGGAAACCTGTGAAGTTAACTGGGCCGGGCCAAGGAGAGGTAAGTATGGAATTTTGTTTATATTTTATGCAAAATAGATGCATGCTATTTTGGAAATTATTATTCTTGTAGATACAGCATCTCATCTACCCATTTACTCCGAAGAGTTTATAGAGAAAGAAGCCATGAGTTAAGTTTGTTCAGACTTAGGGAGGTGTACTTCAGGCAGGGAATGGTACCTATAATCCCAGATTGTATTTACAAAAAGGAAGTTGCAAAGAAAAAAAAGGCAATTTATACAAGTGACTTTTGTGACTTATTATGGCAGTGAAAGATAGAACTTCCTTGGTTATGGAGAAGACAGTGTAGATTTAGCTCCCATTCCCGTCCTTTGTTCAGAGTAATGTATATGGATTGCTTTTGGTTATCTCTGTCACTTCCTAGTAGAATGTGCATTGTGGGGTGGAGGGATGCTTCATGAAATTCATGAGCTCTCTGATATCTTTCATTGGCATCATCTCAAAAATAAAACAAAACAAAACATTGTGTTATTTGTTTTATCATTTGGTCAAGCAGGTTGCCAGACCGGCCCATAAAAAGAAAGCTCGAATGGCGCGGACGCGCTCCGATTTCTTGACTAGAGGTACTTTTGCTGATGGGGAGGGGGATACAGAGGAAGATGATTACGATGACATTGAGCCCCTTCTCTCCCTTGACCAACCTTCTCACTCTGAGCTAGGGCCGGCACCCAGCCTGGGTCAGGCCTCTCACAGTGACTCCGAAATGGTAATTTTATAGCAATATAAGAAAAATAGGCAACAAGCAAATCTGATGGGAATAGTCTTTGCTAATCTAAAGCTAACCTTCACAGCTTCTTCCCCATATAATGATTTGTACATGGGAAACCTCAGTGAACACAGCAAATAAGCTAAACTTTAACAGGACAAAGATAAAGGGCACTTGAGCAGTTTATGTCAAATCATTAATTAGGCAACATTAAGGTTAACTAGGCACTAATGTAGAAATTTTCTGTGGTACATGTTGAAATCTAGAACAGGGATCCTCAACTATTTTTTCTATAACGGGCCAAATGATAAACATTTTGGACCTTGTGGGTCATAGAGTCTCTGTTGCAACTACTAAACTCTGCCACCACCTAGTGAGAAAAACCAGAGACAATAAGTTAACAAATGGGTATGGCTGTGTTCCAATAAAACTATTTACAAAAACAGCAATGGGCTGCATTTGACCTGTTGGCCATAGTTTGCTGATCCCTCTCTAATCTAGTGACTTGAGTATATGTTAGACAATCCAATAGCTTTTAATTGAAATGTTATTCTCGTTTTTTCTTTTTTTTTTTTTTGCTTTTAAAGTTGCTTTCTCTCCCTAATTTTTTAGTAATAGAAAATAAACATGAATTTTTAAAATTTTAATATAATGAGCAATGCCAAAAATGTCTCTCTGGACCAACCCAGCCAAGTAGAAGGTTTTGTATGTAACTTGGGTTTGTATTAATTACAAATTACACGTTGGAATTAGGTTTGAATAAAGCTGCATTATTTTAACTAAGAATATAACTTTATCATCATAACTCAACCAAAATTAGGTATTTCTACAGGGTGTCCCCCAAAAATGTATACACACTGTAACAGCTGACAGCTCAATTTTGAAAATGAAATGCATTTTAATAAAAGCTGTCTTTATAATTATTCAAAGTGTGTGTATACATTTTGGGGAGACACCCTATAGTTGGACAAGTGTGAATGTATTTGTGGATATAGTGTTTGATTTTGGAATTGACCTGGGAAAAATACAATATAAGGACCCTGTATATCTGATATGTACTGAAACATTACACTCATAAAGTGGAGTGACTTATGCAGGTTATTACCATGCATACCCTTAAGTAAGTTGGATCTCATTCTTTTTTATGGGAAGAAAATTTTAGGGTGGTCTTCTTTTGATTCATTAAATATTTTATCTTTGAACTGTTTTAAGCTATTTGATTATGCCAAAGATCTAGTTAATTAAAATTTCTGCTAATTTTCAGAATACTCTCATTTTCTTTATCTTTTGTTAGAGATAGACCCATTTTAAAATGACAATATTGATATTCTAAGAAAGAAAAAACAAAAACACAGAAAATTGCACTACCAATTCTCTAATTAGACATATGATTCATTACACTGAGCCAAACTGTAGGATTGTAAAAGCTAAGAACAATCTGTATATTTTTAATATATATAATTAGAACCAAAGCCCTCTCTTCAGGTACGATAAAATAATTCCATTTTGGAGGTGCCCTGTTTTTGAGTTATAAATAGCAACACATACTCTTATAAGATTATTAGTTAAAGATGAAATTATATAATGAAGTAAACTAATTTTAATGAAAAGTGCTGCCTATATATATTTTTTGTTGTGAATAGGGAGCATGCTTAATTTATTCTCTAAGGCATAAATACATTTTTCATTTGTGGAAGAATTTAGCATATGTAACTGCTGCTTTGTTCCTGAGAGTTTCCTTTGTTACAAACCTTAGTCCTTTTGGTGGTAGAATTCTTTCTCACTGAGAACTCTACTGAGATGAACCAGGAAGTTGGGCTTTCTGCTTGGAGCATTCAGCCCCTTTAAAGGTTCTAGCTGGCAGCCTCTGCCTATGATTCTGTTCACCTGCTTGACGGTCACTGCATGCTAGTAGTTACAGAACACCCTCTGCAGTGTGTTAGTCACCTCTCCAGCTTTGTCACTGCCCTTCTGTTTCATCACTAGCTATTTTAGGAACAGGTGGTGGTGGTTGTTTCTGGTGGATACTTGCATGAAAAAGCTTTGCTTTCTAGAATATGCTGATAGATACTTAGTGGGGTTGGGGGTGGGAAGGGTAGGGACAGTTTTAAAGTATTTTTGTTTATCTTGAAAACATGCTATGTTCTAATGATATCTGATATTGTGAAGATGAAGACTAATTGTTTCTAAATGGAGTCTACAGAATTCTCAAAATTGAATTATTTTCAGGATTTTAAATGGGTTTGATTTTATGCACACATGGACTTTTAAAGACATTGTTTTGTGGTTTTGTTTTTTGGTTTTTTTTCCCCTGGACAAAGTGATCCCATCAGTGAATTTTGCTAAGAAGTGTGTCAATTCTATCTTGGAAGAAGCCATCTATCCTTCCCAGTTTTGAAATATCTAATGGGATAAAGACAGTTATAAATGAATTACATGAAGGGAATTTGATAAGCATTACCCCCTGAGTTGATGAATTGTTCATCAGTTGTTAACCAGCTGTGGAGGAGTGGAGACAAGAGTAGTAGTTTCCCTCCTTAAGACTTTGGTGTGTTTTTTTGGGGGGAGGGGAGCTGTTAATTTCCTACTTTTAACTCTGCCATTTGAATAACTGTTTAGTCTCTGTATGCTGCTCTCACTCAGTTCTTATGCCCACTATGTTGGCTTTTACCCAAGAAGAATGACACATTCTGCTAAGCAGTATTTTTAAGGTGGCTTTTATGTAGTATTTTATTTTAGTCTCTCAATCTTTTGAATGGTGAGTTAGTAAAATCATTTCTATCCCTTATTTGTAGGATTGGTATAGGTAACATTACAGTTTTCTCCATATAGTTTCTTCTGCCATTCCCCAGACTTAAACCAATCATTTCTATGGGCATGACTCCCAAATAGCACTCCAGAATTTGTCTTCTTTATCTCCAGTATGATAAAACTAAATTTCTCATTCCCCTCCACCCCCAAAACTGCTGTCACTTCTTATATTCCTATTTGTTTGTAATTTTCTGAGGTACTCTCCCATCCTTATCTGTGTTGAATTTTCTTTTCTGCTATCCACTTCCCAAAAATCTGCTAGAAAAACCTGTTGATGAAGCATGGCTAAGTCTATTAGTTTATTTTATAGTAAGTGAAAATCAGCCTTGACTATGTCTTAGTAATTTCTCAGAAAGGGGATGTTAAGAGAGGATGTATATTGGATTTGGGGACCTAGACTAGTGATTTTGAGATGGTCTTGAAAGTTGGAAAGCTGGTTAGTAGTAAACAAAAGTTTATGACATAAGAGGTTTGGATTGGTGGCCCCCAGACAACAGCCACACTGTTGAATACACTGATTATTTATATGTGTGTTTTATTCCCTCCAAGAAGTTAGGGATAGTTATAGCATTGTGACTCTCTGCTCTTTGAAGATTTCGTAGAATTTCTCTATGAAACCATCTGGGATTGGTACTTTTTTGTGGCATAATTTCTTCATAAATTCCTCTAATTCTTCTAGTGAAATTAGTCTTTTAAGCTTTCTTACCTAATGGGGTCAATTTTGGTAAATAGTTTTTTCTTATGAAATTACCCATTTCATCTAACTTTTCATATTTATTTGCATAAAAGTTTGGAAAGTAAGTAGTATAATTTTAAAAAATTCTTTGTTTCAATGGTTATTTCCCTTTTGTCATTTCTTATTTTGTAGATTTGTGTTTTTTCCTTTGTTTTAAGTTAACATGTCATTTGTCTGTTTTGTTAATTTTTTCCAAAACAACAGGATTTTGATTTTTTTATTAAACTTGCTCTGCTCCCCCCC